ATAAATGGTAATATTAGATAATACGCATGAATTCCTTGATTATGTTAGCTTTATGGACACCTCCTGCTCATCATTTCTTCTTGGCTGACCCAGCAAAGGACTCTACCTACAATCCAATCAACTTCTTCATGGTATACTCTGAGAGCATCTTTTCTCAGGCTTCTCCTACATGCCTCTTGTCTGGGTTTCGGGCTTGTTTCTTGATGTCTTGGGGCAAGATGCCAAGCAAACCAGATTAGCACCAATGTAGGTAGAAACCCAAAGTATATGGCATTTATGCCCCAGGGGGGAAAACCTAGACAAATAAGGATGGGAGTCAAAAAGGAGGTCTGTCTTCCTATTGCTGCATCCTGTCCCCATTCTTGAAGGAGCATGTCTTCAGACATTTGTCATAGTGGTTTCGGCATTGTGGGAGTGAGTAACAAGTAGATTTTGCAAGTGGCTAACATGATCATGCACTCTTGTATTGACTCCCTGCTTCCTGCTTCATTCTATCTATTCCTTATACCTGGCTCCTGGAATCATACTGTAAGCATTCATCTTTGCTTTCTGGAGAATTCTGGATGAGACTGTCAGAGAAGTTTACAGGCAAAATAGTTTCAAAAATTGCTTACTGTGACCTGTTAATGAAACAATGAATGAAACAAGGAATGACTAAGGCATAAACTTATTCATTTAAGTCATGAATTATTCATGAATTCATTCTGGATTCATAGACCAGTGCTGTTTTCAAGTTAATCAAGACTTTTTAATATAAAAAAATATAGAAGGGGTTAGGATTTATGAACTCTCTATTCCAGCGAGTCCTAAATCAGTTCTGTCTTCCAACTTGTATTCTTGGTTGCTTTCAGCTGATTGATGCCAAAATATAGTTTTAGGGATTCATTTACTTTAAGATATGAATAAGATTTCTGATCAAGGAGGTGCCTTGTCTCCAGAGGTCTGTATAGGTCTCCAGAGACTCTATAGGTCTCTTCTGTGTCCCAAGTCATGCATCATCAATTATATGAGATTATAAGACCAAAGTAGAGACATATGGCTTAGATTATAGAAGATACAAGCATATTTCTACAAAAATGCATATATAAATAAAAATGCCTTTAGTGTGTTGAATATTCTTTTTTTGTCACCCTATTTCTCAACCATAGTGCTCTGTGGACACTAAACATACTCTTCAGTGCTTCTGCCCCATATTTCCAGATGGCTAAGAAGCTATTATATCAGTCAGCTTTGTATCACTACCAACATTCCTGAGATGATAAACTTATAAGGAAGGAGGGTTTCTTTTGATTCATGGGCTTGGAGGTTTCAGTCTTTGGTAAGATGATCTGCTGCTTTCAGGTTTGTGGTGAGACAGTGCATCATGGTAGGGGTGGATGCAGAGGAAGATGCTTATCCCATGGCCACAGGGAAGTGAAGGAGCAAAACCAGGGTGGGCCTGGGATCTCATAGTTCCTTCAAAGTCATTTACCCATTGACCTAAGTTCTTCCCATTAGACTCTGCCTCCTAAGAGTTCCATCACTTCCCAATAGGTACTACAAGCTGAGGATCAATCTTTCAACATGGGGCCCATCCACAGTACCAACTTTGGGAGGTATAATGACCTTTTATAAACAGACAGACAAATAAATGAGTGAATGAACAAATTCTCTCTAATTATCTGTCTTGTGCAGTGTGTTGGGTCCCAGTGCACATCTGCAGTTCAAACTACCAAAGCTGTGTCCTAAAATGGACTAATGGAAATAATACTCAGCTTTATTGAGTGCTGATGACAAATTGCCAGTGACTGGACTAAATGTATTATAAGCATTGTTTCATTTTATTCTTAGGAAAAAGAGAACATTGATGTAAAGGAGTGGGGAAAATTAAATGAGGTTAGTACTAGCATTGTCCACCTTTACAGTGTTTCCAGGACTCTACAGATGAATGAAGGTGGAATCCTGTAAGAATTTAGCAATCTGCTGAGTTGACAGAGCTGAAAGTCCAGGGACAGGGACAGCCAAATGGCTCAGCAGATTAAAGTGCGTGCAAGCAGGTGCAGGGGCCGGGGGTTCCATCCCCAGGCCTGCTATGCCAGCCCCACCCCCAACGTGTGCTGAGAAGGCAACTGAGACTGGGCATGGTGGCGCACTCCTGTAATCCCAGCACTTGGGAGGCTGTAAACAGGAAAATCACTATGAGTCTGATCTAGTAGTGAGACCCTGATCACCCTGTAGACCCTTCCCTAAAATACAGAAAAAAAAAAAAGAAAAAGAAAAAAAAAAGTCTCCAGGGAGACTTAGGCAGCTAGAGTTTGTAGGAGGTGTACCAGAAAGAGCAATGTGAATAGAGAACTTCAGAAATCTGGAGAAAGAGTGATTAAAAAAACAAAAAAACAAAACAAAACAAAAAAAACCAAAACCTCTCAAAAGTATCAAGAGAAAAAAGACATGATTCACACAGAGGAACAACTATAAAGATGAGAGAGGGAAGCAAGGCAAGCAAGAAGAGGTGAAAGAAAGTGCAAGAAGAGGAATGAAAACCCATTGGCTCAGAATTCCATGAAGGAAGTGAAATAAAGACTTCTTCGAATGTACAAAAAGTGAAGCATCATATTGTCTCACTAGTGTAAGAACCTGAAAGAGTAAATATCACCTGACAGCTACCGTAGTAGGAAAATAAAATGAAACAATTCATCCTTAGCAGGATGTCAGCATGGGAAATTTTGGTGCAAGTCTTCTGGGAGAAGCAAAAGGCCATCACATGGAAATTTAGAGCCACTCAAAGGAATTAACAGCACAAGAAATGGTGACTACATGGGGAAATATATAAATTTTCTTAATCTTTTAAAAAGATAAGTGGTTATTTCAAAGTATTGTAAAAGGAAGAGTGAATTCTATGGCAACTACAAAAATATGTTTTATGCATATACACAGATGTTTTAAAAAGAAGGGATAGAAAATAATATGCCAATCTTACACTAATCAGAGGAAAGCTAGAGTGGCTGTGTTCATGTCAAAGTATATTTCAGAATAAAGAATCCTGCCAAGGAAAATGAAGGTAACTTTCATAATAAAAAAAAAAAGTGGGGCTTCCTCAAGATAACTGAACTCAACTGTTTTGCATATTATTGTACAGCTTCAAGATTCATGAAGCACAAATAGGTGTTACAGACAAATTCACAATAGTAAGCCATAGTTTAACGTCACTCCCAGTAACAGATCCCAAGTAGGCAGAAATCAGTAAAGATGTGGAAGATTTAAACATATTACACAACTGGACCTAGCTGACATTTATAAGAGAGCGTTCTTTTCAAATGTTCCATAAGGGGACTGTTTATAGTTCTTTTAATCCTTATCAGGCGAGTGGCCTCATTACTTCCATTTCCAAGAGAATGAAAGCAAGGTCGATGATGGTAGGTCTCTGGGCTCCAAGACCAGGCTATCTCATCAGAACTTGTCATCTCTAGGCTCTATGTCCTGCCCCTCTTGAGCACCTGGAAAAGCTCAGGTCTCCGTGACTTAGAGTAAGATCCTTTTTAAATAAACAAAGAAGTGGTCTGCTCAAATAGCATTTTCTACGTACTGTTTGGAAAGGAAATACATTCCTTCTTCTTCTTCTCTTATTCCCACTCAACTCAGATGGCTCGTGTGCTTCCTCTTAGTGACATGAGTTATAGGTATCATAAAGTCTGGCCCCACAGCCGCTGCATCTGACAGAGAAGACAGTTGCAGAGGATAAAAGGTCCAGGGAAGCTGGCCCTTCCGTAGGCTCTACGCCCGGTGGATGTGTGGTCTGCTGCACACTTAAACGCAGCTCAAGATGTCCGCCCCTCCACGTGCTTGGAACCCCACGGTAGCTCCTTTCCTGGGAAACAGACAGGCTGCTGTTAAAATGCAGTCTTGAGTTCGTGGCTGACTTTCTTTGCTTATTCTCTCACATCTGTTATTAGTACTAGAATGTATATGATAATTACAACACGGAAAAATATCGTAATGTTTTCCAGGGTGAGGTCTCCTTATTTATTGGCAAGAAAATGCCATAGAGGCAAACACTTTTGTGATGGCGTTTTGGGGGCGACCCGGAGCATGGTTGGTCAGTGGGAGGACATGTGGAATGCAGGTATCCTTCGGCCTCCCTGTGCTTTCTGGGTGGCTCAAAATGCACAGTAAACGCAAATCTTGATAATGAAATACAAATTTCTCTTACCATGAATTCAATGGTCTCATTCTTTCTTTCTTTGTGCATCACCCACCCCCTCAACCTTCCTGTCCGGTATCAACATCCAGCTTCCTTCCCCGGGCATCCCTCTGGCTCTCCTATGGCAGGGTGGGCTCGGACCTCGTCCTCTTGCCTAAGGCTCCCAGAGTGAAGGGATTACAGGTGTGCGCCAGCAAGCCTGGCTGGTGACCCAAGATCTACTGTGTCTTGGTCTCCCTCACCTACCTCTTCTGCTCCCCGCAGCTCCAGCTCTCTCCAGCCCCTCTCTCAGCCCCCGTACTCCCCCAGGAGATCAAAGAATACCCTGCTTGCAAGGCTGAAGCCCAGAGCTTGAGTTTTCCAGCTCCCCTCCTGGCTGAAACTGGGCGGCGGGCTGGGGCGTCTGGGCTTCTGGGGGGGGGGCGGGGTGGGAATTAAGAAAGAAGTGTGTGGAACGGAGTCGAACACATTGGAAAAATAGAATTCCCTTTGTGCTCGTTAGCGCGGTGTCCCTCAGCCTGGATCCTTGCCACACATTCTTGAAACCCATTGTTTATTTTGCAGGGGGCTCGGTGGGATGGGCAGGGCGGGTGGGAGCGGCGCTCAGCCCGCAGCCCGCGATCCCGGGCACCGGAGGGATCTTAGAACCCGCGGAGGGGAAGGTGGTGGGGTGAGAGGAGGGGGCGGCGGCCGGCCAATCAGGACGCGAGGCCAGCAGCGAGCGCGAGCCGCCGCGGAGGGAAGTCGGGAGCTGCGGGCGCGGCGGCAGAGCGGCGCGGACTGGCTGGGAGCGGCCCCGGGGCATGGACCCCGCTCGCGCGCTGCGCCCCACGCCGCGGACCGGACGGAGCCGCGCCCGGACAAAAGCTGCCGCCTCGCTGCCCCGGCCAGCGCCACCGCTGGGGGCAGTCGGGCTCGGCGCCGGTGACCCACTCGCAGCCTCAAACTTTTCTCTGGCTGGGAGACTGCAAGAGTCTGATGAGTAACTCGGACAGGAGATCCTCTGTCCTCTGATGAGGAGGATTCTGCACTGTGCTTAGGCGCGCGGGGGGGAAAAGCAAAAAGAAAAGAAAAATGATTTCCTGGGACGTTGCCCGCACAGTATGCGTGTTTGCCTTTCTTTATTCTTCCCTAGCTCAAGATGCCAGCCCCCAGTCGGAGGTCAGGGCTGAGGAAATCCCCGAGGGGGCTTCCACCCTGGCTTTTGTGTTTGATGTGACTGGCTCCATGTATGACGATTTGGTTCAGGTTATTGAAGGGGCTTCCAAAATTTTGGAGACGTCTTTGAAAAGACCCAAGAGACCTCTTTACAACTTTGCTTTGGTGCCTTTCCACGATCCAGGTAAGAGAAACGTTTATTCTTTGTACTTGCTGTGATCCGTGAATGTAGTATTTCTTTTGCTGTGAAATTGTCTTACTGTCTGGAAGTTTCAAACACATTTTAAAAACATGCCTTTTAAGACGCTTGCCACAAAGCAGTGTCTGCCGGCTTCTGGGTTTGCTTTCTGATGGATACCTTCTCTGATAGCTCCACGTCTCCGCCACGGAGTAGGTATTTAGGAAACTTGAACCGTGTGCCCAAACCTGAAAATTTGGACTCGGAAACACAAGAATCAAGAGTCGTCAGCAACAAACATCAAAATCAGAGTCGACTGGCTTGTCTTGTAGAACTAAAGGATGTTTAATTGCCAAGGCAGACTTTGGCTGTAGGGTTTTGCAGCAAGGCTAACTGGATGGGCAGAATAAATTCAGGTTGAAAGCACACGGCAAGGATGACCCTCAGGCAAGGGGAAAAACTTTGTGTGACACAGAAGAAAGCCTGTAAGTAGTAACTGCTAGAGGAGCTGAAGAAATAAAAAGAAGCCATTCATTTCATGGAATGTGTTCACGTTTGCAGCAGGTCTTCATTGGTTAGATTCATGGATGGGTGTAAACATAATGTCCATGGCTCATGCAGAGAAGTGAATGTAACTTGGTATGTCTGTGTTCTTCAGAGGTAGCTGAAGCAGCACAACTTTATTCTGTGCCCTCGAGCTATGGGTTTCAGCTGCTGCCCTGCAACCTGATCCTATTTAGCTTTTTCAGTTTCTCTGTAAAGTAGCACCTCTCTGTGAGGCTCCTAGAAGCCCTCATTGTAGTCCCTGTGGGTAGCATTACAGGGGAAGCCCTGGGGCTTACTGTCTGACGTCCACCTGAGTTTCATTAGCGCAAGTTGCTGTCCAGTTGAAGAAATACAGCAGTGATTCCTTAAAAAGTCCTCCCCCACTGTTCTCCCACATTTTTCCTGCTTTTGAAATTCTCTCTTCACCAGAAGAGTTTGACACAACCTCTTCACCACAAGACCGTGATGTTGAGAATCTCAAATTCTTTCCTTGTGCTTTTGGCAAGCATGCCCCAGTTCAAATTATTGCTAAGTTTTAAATGTGGTATGTTTCAGTTATTTAAAAAGATGACACTGGCAGAAATTTAGAAGGGAATAGAAATTTCTGTCATTTTCATGTGCTTCAAATAATGAAAATAATAGCCTATTCTACTTTTCTGGGATTTAAACATATCTTAGTAATTTCTACACTGATTATACATGAAATGTCTTTATAGATCAATAAAGGATTGGTTAGCTATTTCCTGTGCTTGCTGTCTTAGTAAGACATTTCATTTGTTATGATTCTCCAGTTTATAAACTGTCAAGATGCCAACTGCATTGTAATTTAAGGCTTTTGTTAAACTAGGAAGAACCTAAGTGTATTTCTTCTATAGGGATGCATCCGAAGTTGGCTAAAATACTAAATGAAAACAGTCCTCTCATAATTAACACCACAGTTTGCTTGTCTCCCAAAAATTCTTTCACAAAAATATGTCACAAGACACAAAATAAAAAATTTGCCTTAAGTAATAACACTGAAATTGGGCTATCCTAATATTTTGAAATGTTATGTAAAATTATTCTAATGAGCTGTCCTATGGGGTGCTGTCTCTCAGTTATCCAACAGAAAGGTTTGCACACTGCTCTTATTGGCTTTCCTAGGATTTAGCAATTATGTTCAAAGGGGGGAAATTAGGCATGCTAATAAGAGTTGACTAATAAACTAGAGGTTTTGTGAATTAAATTGTATGAGCGAATCATTAACTAATTAATATTGGTTTATAATTATAAAATATAATTATATATAAAATGCAATACATGATTGATTCTATTTCCATTGATTATTGACTATTTCTATTGTATTTCAAAGTTGAGAGGAGTGACCAAGTATTTATGTTACCTATTCTATTTAAACTACTTTTGAAGATGGATAAGTAACAAGTTAAACATATTATGAATCTTTGACTTAGAATTCACTTGAATAGATTGTATCATCATCTTTGTATGATATTTTCTCCTATTGTCAGTTTGTGGATGTGTGTATTGGTTCTCTGGTACTGGATTAGGTTGGAATGACAGGAAGGGCCTTGGGTGGGGTGTGGCTGTTTTACTGAATGACATTAGAGAAATCAGCTTGTGTTTTTAAAACTCAGTTTCCTCCATTATGAGAGAATAGTATTTGAATGTGTCTAAGGTCATTTCTGATTATGATATTTTGCAATCCTCTGTTTTACATAAGGTTGTTTTTCATAGTCCCTAACACATCTGTACTGTTGGGTGATAAAATCTGACATGGAAATAAGTGATGAGTAGAATTGAATGTTATATCAGTGATTTAAAATTGACATTTATTATACATTTAGCTTGATAAAAGAAAAGTTCTGGAATATCATGTAAATCTTTTGATTGAAGATGACTGTTTTTGAGCCTCACCTTATAGTTGGGGGCAAGGTATGTGTTTGTGGGTGGGGGTACACTGAAAATACATGGCAAGAATGAGAGAAGGACAGTGTAACACACTGACAGTGAGGTGATAAAAGCAGAAAGTGCTTGTAAGAAAGCAGTGGTAGAGCGCTAGCAACACTAGCGGTATGTTGGGGAAGGGGTTCCAGAGACAGCTGGGGATTAGGGATGGAAAAGCCAGTGATTTTTATTTTTTCTTTGAAAATAAGGTTTCACAAAGTCTCTAAGATAGACTCACACTTGTGATTCCTCTGCTTTAGCCTCCCAACATTCTGGGATGGCAGGCATGTGTCACAGATGCCCAGCTTTTGATGTTCGCTGTGATTAACATGGTTTTCAACTTCCACAGTCACATTTAATGTATTAATCTGCAACTATTTCATTGACATGTAATTCCTTTGCTGTATAATGAATTCATTGAAAATATACAATATTCATGGAGAGGCATTGCTGTTATTACAGTGAAGTTTAAAACATTTTCATCACCTCAAAAATGAATCTGGGGCCAGAGAGATAGCTTGGTAGTCTAAGTGCTTGCCTGGCAAGCACAAGAACTCGGGTTTGATCCCTATTACTACATGCTGTGCCGGCTGCGCACTGAGCCGGTCACCGAAATCAGGCATAGTGGTGCATGCCTGTGATCACAGCGCTGGGGAGGCTGAGACAGGAGGATCCCTATGAGCCCAAGCTGCGTAGTGAGACCCTGTACCGAGTAAATAAATAAATAAATAAATATATAAATGATTAAAAAAAGAAGAAAAAGAAAAGAAATCTGGGATCCTTGATTGTTGGTTTCCTATCTCCCCACCATCCCTGGCCAGCCCTAAGCAATAGCTCCTCTGCTTTTCTGTCTTTAGATTTTCCTGTTCACCTTCATGTGAGTGCATTCATATCATATGAGAGTTTTTGTGCCTACCTTCTTTACTTTTCTTAAGGTTATGACACATCAGTACTTTACTCATGAATTTATTTAGCTTTTGTGAGGCAGGATCCTGCTATCTAGTTCAGGCTGGCCTTGAACTCATTAGCCCAGTTTGGACTTGAACTTCCTGAGTGCTAGCATGCACCACCATGCCTGGATCTTGACTCCGGTTTATGGCCAAATAATATTCCATTGTATAATTTTCCATTTTTTATCTATTAGCTCATGGTGGATATTTGAGTTGTTTCCCACCTATTATAGACAATGCTGTTATAAATATTAATGCACAAGATTCTGTGTGGACATGTTTGTATTTCTCTTGGATGTACACCTGGTGTGGAACTGCTGGTTACTGTGCTTAATTGTTTGAGTACTTGCCAAACTGTTGCCCAAAGCAGCTGCATTTTTTTCATGTTCCTACGAGCAATATATGAATTCCAGTTTCCTCAATTCTCATTAACATGTTTTAATCAATCTGTTGAATTCTTACTTATTAAGTTTTCTGTGCCCTTTATAGCATTTAAAACATATTTCTTTCTTCCTCGGAACACAGCTTTAGGGAGGGCTCAGGGTCTACTTTTACTGCAACTCCTTTTGTCACTCCCTCTCTTGTTTCTCCTCTCTGTAGCACAGGGATCAGAGGCAGGAGAGAAAGGGGCAGTGTGTTAATGAATTGTTTCATAGAAAAAAATTCTTTCTTTCATGATTATGTTTCCACTTTCTTCTTCCTAAAGCCAATCTGCATTCATTCATCTACCGATCCTCCTATTGTGTTTCATGAATTGATGGAGGATACAAAAGGGAATAAAAGAGAATGTCCTGAATTCACAGGGCTTACATTCTGTGGGAGAGAGGGACACATGCAACTGATCGAACAAATAACAAACAACGTCCCCAACAATACATGATATTATTGATAGTGATAATTGCTATGGAGAAAACAAAAAGTATGGGAAGTTTGAAGTAGACTTGAGATGTTGGAATTTTATATATGGTAGGTGGGGAAGACCCTCCCCCCAAATGGACTCATTTAAATAAAGACCTGAAGGAAGTGAGGGAGAGAACATTGAGGTTCTGAGGAAATATTGTTACAAGCAGGTGGACAATTAATGAACAACATCATGGCAACAGCATCTGCAACACAGTCAGTGATGAAGTTAGGAGATGAGATCAGAGGTCTGACAGGTCAGCTTAGGCTGGGGCCCATACATCGTTCTGACTTTGGCTTTGACAGCGAGTGAGATGGGAGCCATCTTAGAGTTTTGAGCAGAGTGGTGGCATGATCTGACTCATAATCTACATAGAATTTTTCTATCCTTGAAGAGTAGCCAGAAGTGGAACAAGGGCAGGTGCAGGAAGAACAGAAAAATATGGAACAATTCAGGCAGAAGATGATGGCACATTTTGAAGGAAATTGCTGGAAGTTGTTTTGGGAAATTCCAGGAGTTTGTGTAGTACTGAAGAGGAAGCCATACAGATTTGAGAAGTCATGATAGGCACTGAGGATTGGAACTGAGTGAACAGAAGTACATCAGGACCATTTCCTGAGATGGAGAAGAATAAATGAAGAGCAGATTCAAGAGAGGGTGAGAGG